AGGGACTTGCGCGCGCTCAACGTGTTGCGTACATAATTCGTACTACGTGTATAGCCACAAAAACTCATCGACACCTTAAACCTAGCTATTATATTTAAACTACAATCAATAGCCGCTATATTGTATATAGAGAAGCAAACAACAGGAGTAGAATAGGTACATGGTGCGATAGGTATACTGTAAACCGAAATGATCCCTTCCCGCTTATGTCCACGCGCCAATTAGAAAGCGCACATTGAAATATAGGCGCTCGGCAAGCGTACCGATGCCGCACCACTACCGCGCCGACGAACCGGGAAACGGCCTTTGTGGCACATATTCGCACGCGCAGCTAGTAGATAACCATCATCAATGCACTATTAGACATAGGCCTCTCCCAATGAGCGCCATTTCTGTCGGTCTTCAGCTTGTCACATCCATCTGCCGTTAGTAGCATTTCGCGCGTCGTTACTCCATCTTGCCAGAGGGCCATATACTACGTTTGCGAAGCCGGAGTTCTCCTATCAAGAACTTGTTTACCCCATCGATTATCGGTTCTTCGACAGATATGGCTTGCCCACTGCCACTTCAGCTTACTTATTTTACCAGCTATGTCGACGGTCTTGGTTCTCTGTCAGATAACCTCATTTCGAATCTTATCCTTCCGAGAAACTCCGAGCCTAGACTGGTCCATGGCTCGCTGAGCGACGTTTAACTGTTAGACTAGCCGGATGGTGAGTGTCTACGTCTCAGCTCCGTATGTCATAACGGGTAGAATGCACTGATTGGAATCTGGCTCATTATATTTGTTGAAACTTACTGATCTGATAATCGTATCTCCGAAGAAACAGAATAAGAATATCTGCACCAAAGAGAGGCAGAGAAGAGCAAGGAACATTATAATGAAAGCCACATTATCAATCATCTGAAACAAATAAATTTTAAGAATTTGACGAAATCGACAAAGTTTTTTAACATCATGTCATTTAGGACCAAAACAAAACGTTTACTACAATTTATCGAGTTCTTAGGTCTTCGCGATTCTTAATCATAATTAATGAAACAATTATCTGTTTTTTATTATTCGAATCATAAGTCTAGGTAGCCTAATGGTTTGACATACCGCATCCCAAGCAAAGGTTGTAGGTTCAAACCTCTGAGTTTGTCGGAATTTATGTGCGAAATTTAAATTAAAATTTACCATGATCTTTTCGGTGAATGAAGACATCGTGATGAAACCTGCACGTCGAAGGTTCACTACTCTCGGAAAATGTCCACAACCAGCACTGAGCCAGAGTGGTGGAATATGACCTAAACCCTCGCCGTAGAGGAGACCCGTTCCCAGCAAAGGGACGTATACGAGTAAATGAGTTGTATATATTGGGTAAAACAATTATTCGAATATAAACCAACTTTACGGGCACTTTAGAGTCACGTCTGACTCACCTGGCCGGGACCTGACGGGACCTGTAAAGAACTCAAACATTGAGTTCTGTAAAGAACTCGTCGTTTGAAAACCAAATATACGAGAATTACATCCAAAAACACTAGTTTCAAAACTAACACTACTAGAATACACAAAGTCCTTTTTTTAAGTGACATAGAAATCTTAAAATGATGACTAACCGTAATATTAAACCCAGCAAGGCAAATCATAGCTGAACTGGACACAAAGTTGAATAGTGTCGACTTTGAATAGATTGTCTCTAATATTGCCACGGCACTGAAAAAGACATATTTGTATTATCATGAACAGGTGAACAGGAATCAAAAGCCGTCGTCGAACACCATTGCCTTTGTACTATCGTACTTGAAGACAGTGAGTGTAGTAACACGTCAGCCTATTATGATATTTTGTTATCAAAAGCTATAATCACGCGAATGAACACGACAAAATTATTGATGTTGTAAACTGTAAACTGTCGCCACTTCCTCCTGTTTTTCAAGTCTCCTTTTTTTCTCTCCACATTTAGTCGAGCAGCAAGTAGTGGTGAAATTGTCTCTTCTAGACTTATTATGCGATATTTCGGTACTTCTTTACAGTGAGAAGTAGGTGTGCACGCCGCCACTTTCACTATAAAATATCTTTCTGTATGTGGATAATCTAAGGCACTTAATCTAATACGCCAATAACTTCGCCTACCTCAGTACTATTTTGCTTTTGTTAATTTTTTTAAGCCAATTTAATTAAACCACTAATTAAACTTTATTATGTTACAATTTGACGACGTCGTGTGGCTTGGCACATCAGTGTTCAAGGTATCGCCATCTCTGAGGACCCGGGTTCGATTCCCGGTCCGGTCAATGTAAAAAATAAATTTGTACAAATAAAAATTTAGTAACTTTCTTGGGGATCAGAGCAATGTATGTGATGTTATCTAATATGTTGTCTAATTTTAACCACAATTGTACTTACTCCATGAGCGCCTGATGCCATTTAACCAACTCCATTATCTTCATTTGAAATACTTTGTCCACGTTCTGTTTCCCCCCTCTATTACCACTCTTTTTTGGGATTATTACTTTTATTTCTTGTTGTAGAAGCTTGAACTGAACTACGATAAAAGTAGTGCAGATGTAATAGAAAGATTCTGTAGCGGTTACCCAAAATAACACCACAATCACTAAAAATACATCCTTTATTAATTGCTTCTCAATGTAGAGTACAAAAACTTTCATAGAATTTACTTACTTATATTCGCACTGTTAATACAATATTGTATTAACTCAAAAAGTGTATTTTCTCAGAATCGACGAATAAACGAATTACTCGTTTCCCGTGATAGATCTGCGTAAATTTATGCATAAGTTATTTCCTACTTGCCAAATATACATTTAAAAATAAAAGAAAAAAAAAATTTCTTATTTTTGAATCAGGAAAATTTTGGCTAGAACTAGCTCATGTAAAGCGTGTCTCATTTTGAGTTACGTAGATATATTTTTGTTTTTTTTACAATATTCTAACGACGGTTTTATTGACGTGTGGAGAATCAAATTTTACTTTCAACAATGGTATAATGTTGAATTTCACATATTTTGAGTTATAACACTATTCTAATAGCAGTGCGATAATTTTGGTGAAATTCAGGTACATGGAACTTGTCAACTTAGTCTCAGGGTGACGGGCGCAGTGGCAGTGGCCCTCAGATCTTTGCGATTTAAAACTCTGAGTGGCACTGCAACTGTTATGGAAGCGCAAGACTTGGTCGCTCCGTCACTTGATATTATAAAAATAAAAAAGAATTAAAAAGTACAATAAAATTAGTCAACATATCATCATTATCATAAACCCAATTATGCGTCCCTGTCGGACTTCACAAGTTTTCCGAGTGTTGTGAATCTTCTTCGACGAGCAAGTTTCGTCACAATGTTGTCCTTCACCGAAAAGCTAGTGTTAAATTTCTAATTAAATTTCGCACATAAATTCCGAGAAACTCAGAAATGCGACACCGGATTCGAACCCACGGCCTTTGCTTGAGAAGCGTTAGGTCAAACCAATGGGCTACAACGGCATTTTGAACGAATAAAGAGAAATAAATATAAATATTGAAAATATAGCATCACAAGGAGGACATTCTCTATTCGGCTGTTTTTTTGTTTGTTGCATGTAACCGATTTTGATGATTCTTTTTGTTGGAAAGAGGGTATCCCGGTAACGGTCCCATTTATAAATTTGAAAAAAATATTCCACCTGTAAAGGTGTGAAACTAGGGGATGAAATCGGTTTCACACACTTTTCGTTAACCGATTTCAATAAAACTTGGCAAATAGCTGTAATTCCACGAACTTTTGAGGTTGGTTTTTTTTATAAAAACAATTGAATTTGCTGATAAATTTATTAGTTTAAAAGAATGAAATACATCAAAATGAAAAGCCGAAGAGTCAATTAGCTCCCCAAACGGAAGAATGGCATAAGTGGAGTTAACTCTATCAACAATATTAGTCGATAGAGTTACAAGAATTTGAGAGGATGTGGGTTATAAACGTTTTTGACGTAACTCTACTTATGCCATTCTTCCATGACTGGTGCAAAATTACTTACCACTGTAAATATTGTGGAGCAGGACAAACGGGTATATTTTTATATCATACGCATCAAATGGATACGAGATGAGAAATGGTAGTACCAATTCCACTTTCTTCAATACCAAGTAATTATAGACCGATATAGAGAGCGGCATTAATGGAAACGCTAATATCAAGAGCCAGTTGAAGAATCCTGATAGTTTTAATACAAAATGTAAAAATTCGATTGGACGTTCGACATATGTTTTGTTATCATTATTGTTCAAATCGGTCTTGGTTTCTAGTTCTCTCAATTTAAAGACCAGTTTGTCCACATAGCCATGATGCCACATAATTGATAAAGACCTAATGTTGCTTAAAAGAGCCAGAGTGATGCTAGGTGCTGTGTGGGTCATAGAAACCAGTCCTCCATTTGCTGCTCCTTTTGCAATAAAACAAATACCTCCCACGATCTCTTTGTTTAGCCAAAAAGAATTAAACCAATACAAAAATCTTGCTTTCTTCATATTGTAATCATCGCGGTTTCTCAAATGCAAGCCGCTCCAACGAAATGCATAATCAATTTTCCGCAAATATTTATCAAACAGTAAATTTCCGTCCTTAGGCAGTTCTGACATTCTGTGATTGTAATGTTATCCTTGTTTATTGTCAAGTTTCTTGTAGAATATAGGCGTTGATTGCTTCGCTTATTGTATATTCGCTTTCTATTAATTAAAATTTAATCTCTATAATTCCTTTCCAACAGCGTTAGAAATGTTGGATGTGTGATGATAACCTGTGTTTTGAAGGACACATTGGGTTTAAAATAGATAAATGTTTTGGGGTTCTCCGTAAGTTGTATAACAACTCGGTTGTGCATTTGTTTAGTATTTGTCCCACCCAAGCTAATAATGTAGTCAGTATAAAATAAAACCTTGTTTGTTTAAAAAACCATGAACTCGATTCTAAGGGTATTTGCGCACAGCATCCGATTCGTATTCGTACCCAATCCGAGACTATGTAAAGCTAGAAAACTCGGACCCACTTCGGGTGTCGCTTATGCACTAAGTCCGATTCAAATCCGAGAAAATACAAATATCGCTTGTACACCTAGAGATAAATTGACACTTCGGACACCTGTGACATTTCGGACCGTCATTTCCCGGATTCGGAACTGATACGAAGCGGACGTAGTGCGCAAATGCTCTAAAGGCGAATAACGCTTGTGTGCTTTTTGTCCCGCAGTGCCAAGCATATTCATTATATAGTACGATTCCAATTGATATTCAAAATTTGCCATTCACGAGGTTTAAAACTATAGTAACTTCTGCGTACTTGGATGAGAAATCCCTGGTAATGACCCGTTTAGCCATTTCAAGTTGTCTCGATCGATATTAAATAAATATTGTAGATTATAAATGTGTACGAATGTTTATTTACAAAGAGGAACCTCTAGAGTTTCTTGCTCATTCCTCTTGGACCTTACGATTGTAATAGAGTTTAATCAATATGACGATTTGAACTGTTTCTGATTGGAATTTCTCTACCTATGAAATAGAGATTATATGAGTTTGAGATCAAATTTCACTTCATCTCTTTTACTATCATATATCAAGAATCGGATTCTCGATACGCCTTACCTTAAATAGTCTTATTTTTTCACTCTATGTTTGTTATCTAAAGCGGTTCTACCGCAAGGTTTGACATAGTATTATCCCTAAGTATCAAGTATAGCCCTGCCACAGAGGATCGTTTTGACTTGTCTAGTTTGCTTTTTATAGTGAATAGGACTATGGTTGCTTTTTCAGCTTTTTGGGACAGTTCCATATTCTGACACCATGCGAAAATGAAGAGCTTCTCAAACTGTATAAATGCCTATTATACGCCGAATAGCGCTGTTCTTAAAGACATGACTGATAAAATAAATTGAAAGAACTAAGTTCTAGAGGGTAATTTTTTTTTTTAACAAAAAAATTATATCAACCAAGAAACTTCAAGGGGTTTTAGTTTCCTTTAATATGAACATTTTTTACTAAGGATATACGGAAAACATAGGTTTTTACGTTTATATCTTACGAAACATGATATTATGTTTATGGTAAATATTTATTTAAACGTGTGACAAATTTCTCGGAACTCCAACTTTTTAGTTCACGTACCTAAATACTTGCTTCCTTAAAAACTTTTCCTTTTGTTTTAAAGTGATAAAATACTATAAAATACTTGTTTATATGACTTGGTAACATACGCATATTGCCTTTCGATTTATATTTGAAAAACTCCACGTATATTTTCGTTTATATTAGAGTTTATTACGTCATTGTTTATCACACGTCTGTAGGTTCACTATTTTCTTAAAAAATGAAGCGTCGTACATTTTGTAATTTTAAAATAAAAGTTTTTGTTAGCAGTAGAGCTCTTTGTGATAGAGTTCATCCAGCGAGGTACGGCCACCTTACCTTTTATGCCGCTTAACGAGTGCGGGCGGGTGCAGTGTCCTTCAGATCTTTGCAATTTCAAGCTCTGAATAGCACTGCGATTGCAATGGACAGGCGTGTCGCTTACCACCAGAAGCACGACTTGTTCGCCCTGTCGCTTGGTACATAAAATTAATGAAATAATTGTATATATTACATATATAATCTCGAAGCCTACAATAGCGAACATGTACGGAGTCATTGCAACATGTGCTGATATTACGATTTATTACTAACTTACTAAAAAATAATACAGCGTAACACCAGGCGCACGACTTGTTTGTCCAATCATCAATTAGTACCATAAAAAACAGCGAGAAAAGGTGTCATTTAAGCTACTCAAAAAAATCATTTTAAAATACATACATACACTTTGATCCATTTTCCTACTGAGTAGGCTGAGACCATAGAATTTCACTTACTACGAACCTGATGCATAGCTTTCCTCATCAACACGATTCCATACAAGCTGATCTATTAAGATACTCTTAACAAAGACGTCGTTCTTATTAAGTTCCTTACCAACTTGCCCGCCCAAACTCGCCTCGATTTTAAAATGTAGTTAATTGTACAAACAAATACGACTGTATATTCTCGCAGTCCTGAAACACTGACAAAATTTCAGCGCTTCGTCAATCCAAAGTAAATTAATTGTACAGATCATCAATTAGTCAGAGCATAATGCTACCCTTTTAGGGCATAACATATCGTTGAAAGGTCGCGTAAATAGTGCTGTTGCAATCCGTTTCACATTCCGTTTTAAATTCTTATTGTACAAAATAAGTTATTCCGTAGTAATTCTTTAGGTATCAATGCTAGTAAAGTAGGACATATATAAATACGTCAGTGTCTTATTTTATTCTTTGTTGAAAATACTAGCTTACATCACTTACAAAGGTCTCTTTGCAGTTGAAGAAGGAGACAGATTGTTTAGCTTAAAAGTTGTGGCTGAGTAAACGACGGCTTAATGTATTTTTTATGATATCAAGTGTCGCATACTCATAACGTTTCAGTGCTAATCAAAGCATCCTTACCATTCAAAACCAGAGCGCAGTAATGCTCGCATTGTATTAGGTACGGGCACATTATTACGTACAGTGGTCATACGTCCCTAGATGATCTTTTTCACAGGGAACTCTTCTACATTTTATGTGTAATAAAAAATTAAGGACGTAAACTTGACTTCCAGACTAAAAGATAAAAATATAATAATGAGAACATTATGTTAAAAAGTGAATGAAGAATGCAAAATTTTAAACATAAGTAGCTTTTAGCCAATTAGTTCAATGTCTTATTCTTACACTTTTAATATTCTTACACTTTGTTTTTACACAAGTAAAAAGAAACGATAATAAACATAAAACAACACGTGAGTGTTTAAATTAACTAAGCTAAGCTACAAATAAGTGTACTCTAGAAATCCCACATTATATATATATATATATTATAGTTATCTATCCTTTCTTGCGGTTTTGGCAACTGGCCATACCGGAAAGTTTAATCTACAGACAAATTCAAATTAGACACGTTTTTCTTACGTATAATTTTTAAAGCACTCATTAATTGTACGTGGGATTAAAACGATTAATTCTAATTATCATATAATGACGTCAATGTGACATCATAAAATTGCTGTAAAAATCACTAACATCTTTTTAGTACTCGATCTGACTACTTGTCACTACTACCACCCTTCTCCGACTTAACAGTAATATTACAAATAATTCTAATTACACAGTCTTCCAAATCACTAAACTCGATACACAAATAACGTTTGGACTAGAACGAAAAACTTTCAAAAGCAATAAATTCAACACTTCAACAATCGGAAATTGGTTTAAGTTCTCTACATATTTTCTACATGTTAGTTCTCTACATGTACATAGTAATAAAAGAAATAATTTTGTTACAGGGTAAATATGTAACAAATTATAAAATAATTGTACAATTTACGCTAACTTACACAAATAAAAACTTTTAAAATGTGACCTTTCACTTAACCCGCAACTTTAAAAAATCTGAAAACTGTTAGGAGATAATCTAAGACATAACCATGCTTAGAGATTTTAAGCAACTACTAAGTAAATGTTCCGGAGCACAATTCAACATAAAGCACCTTTTCAATAAGAGTCACTCAATACAAAATTTCAACTTTTTCTTATTATTTAATTCATTATCATATTATTTAATTTATTATTACTGAAGTACTAAAAACTGGTCTTGTTAGTCCTGGAAAATAATGATCAAATATTTACTTACGTTTGTAAAAATTTAATGACTTCTTTAATGATGATTTTGAGAAACAAAATAGCTCAATTACTAATCCATCACTTTTTCGTCAACGGTGGTGGCGTGTTGTGTTTGCAAATACAGATTCAACATTAAATGCAGCGTCGACGTGCCGACGTGGAAGTGGAATTTCAAACATATGAAAAGACCCATATAGTGACAGTACCTACCAAGCTTTAATTGAGTTCCAGATTAATAACCTTGAGAATGATTTTTAAAGAAAGAAACTAATTTTTGTATTTTTTTTATTAGGCCGCTTTCATTCTAAAGGCGCTTAAGATCAAAAGAAAATCTATAACTGGAATTTAAGTTTCATATTTGCCGACGAAATATAAAATTTCATGATACAGATTACGAAAAAGTTGTAAAATATCACATAGAAGTAAACACTCTAGCTATGTCATATCTGATTTTAAAATTTGAGTAGCTATTATCTAAAGTATCATGTAACAAAAGTATATGCGACATGCGGCATCATAGCATTATCGCAAAATTATGACTTACACATTCTTCACACATTATTCAATATTAAATCAGATGATTGTATATGGTTTCTGCATTCTATATGTGTTCTGAAAGGTTCTGTAATATATTTCATAATAAATGGCAGAATTTTTTGTTATTATCTCTACACTATTTAATTTTTTTTTACTGACGGGACAAGTCATGCGTCTGGTGGTAACCGCCCACGCAATTCATGCGTCTCTGGAAGCATACAACACCTAGAGGTGCCGGTGATGATTTTATACCGATTTATCGGATATCGAAGTTATAACAGGTAAAAGAACTAATACTAATTGCTATTTCGGTAACTACTCTAGCAAACCATAAAGTTTTTAATGCCTGGGTCTGTCATTTAAAAAAATAAACAA